CCATTGCAGCAAAACCATCCACTATGGCCTGCACATTTCCCAGAGTCACTACCTTTTGTAGCAGCACCTCAGTGATTGCTTTGGCTACTTGCATCACAGCAGCCCCCACAGTAGATTTGCCCACTCCAAATTGATTCCCGACTGACCGGTAGCTGTCTGGCATTGCAAGCTTCCACAGGGCTATCGCCACGCGCTTCTCAACTGTGAGGGCTGCTCTCATCTTGGTATTCTGGCATTTCAGGGCAGGGGACAGCAAGTCACAAAGTTCCATGAAAGTGCCCTTACGCATGCGAAAGTTCCGCAGCCACTGGGAATCATCCCACACCTGCAACACTATGCGGTCCCACCAGTCTGTACTTGTTTCCCTTGCCCAGAATCGGTGTTCCATGGATAGAACCTGCCCCATTAACAACATGATCTCCAAAGCACCGGGGCCCGCGGTTTGACAGAATTCTGTGTCCGTGTCTGTGTCCATGTCCTCATCACACTTGTCGCTGCGCTGCCGCCGCCGCTGCCTCCTCGCCTCGTTTTTCTGGTCCTGGCTCAGCATAAACTGCACGAGAACGCGCGAAGTGTTTACAATGTTCATGACTGCTGTCTTGAGCTGAGCGGGCTCCATGCTTGCTGTGGTATGGAGTTTGCAGTGTTCACCCAGGAAAAAAGGCGCAAAATGGTTGTCTGCCGTCCGTTGTTTTCATGCATGGAGGGAGGGAGGGGTGAGGCTGTACCCAGAACTACCTGCGACAATGTTTTTTGTCCCATCAGGCACTGGGATCTCAACCCAGAATTCCAATGGGCGCGGGAGACTGCGGGAACTATGGGATAGCTATGGGATAGCTACCCACAGTGCAACGCTCCAGAAATCGACGCTAGCCCCGGTACTTGGACGCACACCGCCGAATTAATGTGCTTAGTGTGGCCGCATACATTCGACTTTATACAATCTGTTTCCCAAATTCGAATTATATAAATTTGGATTAATCCCGTAGTGTAGACATACCCTTAATCACATCCAGGTGTCCAATTTAAGGCTCCAAATCCAAAGTTTTTCCTTAACCAGTATGAAAGTTTCTCAAGCAAGAGATGAAAAGATCCCACACTCCCTCAAAGTCCTTTATCTTATTTTTAGCTCTGTGTTAGGCTCTCTCCAAGGAGATGATGCTCTTTATATCTTGCAGCCAATTACTTATTTCAGGTAAAACATCAAATTCCCAGCTTCTTGCAATTCTTTTATTTGCAGCTAATGATGGTATACTTAGTCATCTAAACATTTATGTTTTATTTATAGGTTATCTAAGATGATGATTTTCTTTGAGCCAAAGCCTTGGAGATCTTTACTTGTTGTTAGAGCACACTTCCCACTGAAGACAATAGGCCAAAGTCCTGAGATTGTTAGTCAGTTTGTATTCAGGCCTTAATCAGACAAATTCCAGTTGAAGTGAATGGAAATTTTGCCTGAGTGAGAACTGAATGACTGACTCCTTTTGAGGTTTGCCTGAATAAAACATGAGTAAGCCCTTCAGAATTTACTGGTTATCTGACTTGCTCTCAGTCTAGATTTATATGCCTCTTGTCACCATAGTATCTGAGCACCTCAGTTATTAATGAATCTTACTTTCCTACAGGGTTATCGTGAGGGTATCTTCTCCATTCTACGAATGGGGAGCTGAAGTACTGGGTAGATTAAGGATTTTGCCCAGGTCTCCTGAGTCCCAGTCTAAAGCCCTATCTGCAGTCCACATACTTTATAGTAATTCTTAATGCCCATTATTGCTGTCACTGAGCCCATAGTGTTGTTTTGGTATTATATAAACACAGTAACATGTATAAGCACACAAACAAAGAAAGCTAGGGAGAAAACAAGGTTGGCTTCCACTCATCAGGACAACCTGACTCAGGGTCTGCTTGACTCCTCCACTCACTCGTGTAGTACGGTTGCTCTGCCTCTTGCAGATTGCCCACATGTGCACCCTAAGGGGTGGTGTAGTTTTTCCGTCTGAATGTGCATGTGAACATAGATACGTTGTTTTATGAACTTAGGACTTTGCTTGTTTTTTGTTTGATGTCAGTCACAACATTTGAGACTCCCGAGAACATTGAATCTTACCTGGACAAACAAGTGATTGGACCAACCACTGAGATCCTGGCCAAGTCAGACTTCCCACTGCAAGCGTTTAAGCCAAAGGTGCAGCTTCCCTTTCAGGGATTGCCAGGACAGTGCCCTCGGAAGATTGAGATAGAGAGGTAACCTCAAGAAGGGGGACAATGTGATAGCTGTTGTATACATCGAATAGCCACACAAGTACTGGATATTGAATTTCGCTCTGAAGATGCGGAAGTGCTATGTAGATAATGTTTCAAGAGGGACAGTGTTTTATTGTAGGGTTTAGCCTTACCCCTTGCCACCTGCACAACGCTGTTGACTTAGGCTGCCTAGAGAGAGGATCACATGTTGACAGAATGACTTAAGCTTATTGTGCTTTGTAGATGTTGGAGATGGGAAAGACCTCTGAGATCACCCAGCCCACCTCTGACAATGCAGGAATGATCCCCTAGAATAAATGTCTTAGGAAGGAATTTTCAAAGTTCTCAGCCTTGGCCTAACCCGGCTCCCATTGGGGTCAATGGTAAAACTCCCATTGAAGTCAGTGGGTGCAGAGTTAGGCCAACCCTGAGCGCTTTAGAAAATCCCACCTACAGTGTGGTGTTCAGTAAGTATTAAAAGTTCCATCGGTCTGTTTTGCCTTCTGGGTAGTGTCCAATTGTTACTGCATTGGTGCCGTATTGAACCTGTAGTTATTAGCCCAGATGTTCTTCCCTGTAGCAGACTGAAAGAAAATTGAATAATGACAATTCATATAACTTCATTAAGAATAACCATTCAAATCTCATTGACGCCTAACTAGGAGAAGACGGCTATATCTCAAACTAGATATTGCTCAGCTCTTAGCCAAAAAGGGGATAGATTCCAATCAGCTGATGCCCAGGCACCAAGACCCTGACAATATGCCAGCCATTGAGCAAAAGAGAGATCCTCTCTTTCCCATCTACCTCCCACTGCAGGTAAGCGAGCAGCTTCAGAACTGTCATGTGCATTACTACTGACGCTCTCGGGACTCACTGAAAAGAGCAGGGCACATGATTTAGTAAGAAACAAAGATGAGCAGGTGAATATTTTAGAATAGAAGCCATGGGGACTGGGATCCATAGGGTTCAATCTTGCACGGTGCTGAGCACCCCCTGTACGTTAATGAGTGCCCACAACTTTCATTACAGTCAATGGGACTTGAAGGTGCTCAGCATCTCGCAGGACTGTTCCAAAGACAGTTGTTTAGGCTTCTTTAATACCATTCTTACACAAATTCAGATTTCCTTCTGAATGCAACTGTCGGCAGCATTGGTTGCTGGGACTTCTCCAGTTGAGAGTCTCCTCCCCATCTCTACTATCTAGAAAAGAGGAACTAGTCTAGATGCCACCTTTGGAAATAAGTCCTTCATAAGGCAACACATTATGCAGTTTCTGCACCTTTGCTGTTTCCCCCGTTATATAAAATTCAGGGAGTGCGTGTTTCTTTTCCTCTCATAAATTTCTATGCCATGTTGTTATCTTCTTCCCCAAGCAGGGATTCATTTCCATTGCTTACAATGTCTTGCCTATGTAGATATTTGATGATGAAGAGTATGACTGCCGGACTCCAGAAGAGTGGCTCTTGCTGGGGTTGGAGCCAGGATCTCAAGACAGAAAACCAGTTCCCGGAAAAGCACTTTTACCTACAGATGATCAACTGGGACATGGTAAAGCATGACTGAGCTATAGTTTGGGTGCTCTACACAGTGACATTGGGCTAATGACACTTACAGGATCGTTGCAATAGAATGGTTAGCATTTGGAATGGAACTTTCCAACTTAGATGAATATAATGCTGATGAATGGAACACAGAGATGATTAAATGAGAGTGAGTACTCGGGTAACAGGCTCTAGTGGTTAGAGGAGGGGACTAGGAGTCAGGAGAACTGAGTTCTGCTCTCAGATCTGCCACGCATTCATTGGATCTTGTTTTTAGAAATAGCTTCTGATTTTGCAACCACATTTCTGTGCCTGGAAATAATTGCAGGCTAATTTCATAGTACTTAAATGTTTATTCCCTGATCAGACCTGCAAATCAATAAGTTAGAAGTCTAAATACTATGAAACATGTCCGTGTTTACCTGTTGGTGCAAAACTGGAGGCCAAGTTGAGGGTCTTCTGAAAATCGGAGCCACTGCGTGTGTTATCCAGTCCTGTTGTTCCAGAACTTAAACGGTGGGAAGAACACATGGAGCAAATGTCAGGAAGCAATTGCATGCATGACTATTCTGCATTGTTGTGCTGGGCACTTTATTTTATGTATTTATTTATTTTTTAAAGAAATCTTCAGCTCAGAGCAACTGAGGTTGACCTTACGGGACATATGACAGTGAAGAGGAGCAACTTCAGCCCAGTTATTTTGATTGGGAAATACCTGAGAATCAACTAAACCCTTTTTAGAACATAAGAGCCTAAGAACGGTCATAATGGGTCAGACCAATGGTCCAACTAGCCGAGGATCTTGTGTTCGATTGGCCAGTGACAAATGCTTGAGAAGGAATGAACAAAACAGGGCAATTTATAGAGTAATCCATCTCCCATCATCCAGTCCCAGCTCCTAGCACTCAGAGATTTAGGACACCCAGAGCAAGGGGCTGTATCCCTGACTATATTGGCTAATAGCCTTGATGGACCTATCCGCCATGACCTTATCTAATTATTTTTTGAACCCACTTATACTTTTGGCCATCACAACATTCCCTGACAATGAGCTCCGCAGGTTGACTGTGCGTTGTATGAAAAAGTACTTCCTTGGGTGACCCATGGTTATGTGTTTATCTTGTGTTATGTGAACGGATGGTTCACATGGTTATCTTGTATTATGTGAACGGATAAATAACACTTCTTTTTCACTTTCTCCTCACCATTCATGATTTGATAGGCCTCTATCATATCCCCTCTTAGTCATCTCTTTTCTAAGTTGAACAATCCCAGTCTTTTTAATCTCTCCTCACATGGAAGCTGTTCCATACCCCTAATCATTTTTGTTTCCATTCACTATGCTGCTTCCAATTCCAATATATCCTTTTTGAGATGGGGCAACCAGAACTGCACACAGTATTCAAGATGTGTGTGTACTGTGGCTTTATATAGTGGCATTGTGATATTTTCTGTCTTGTTATCTATCCCTTTCCTAATAGTTCCTAACATTCCATTCGTTTTTTTAATTGCCGCTGCACATTGCGCAGGTGTTTTTCAGAGAACTATCCAATCCACAATGACTCCAAGCTCTCTTTCTGCTGGTTACATCTCATTTAGACCTCATCATTTTGCATGTATAGTTGAGATTATGTTTTCCAATGTGCATTACTTTGTATTTATCAATGCTGAATTTCATCCACCATTTTGTTGCCCAGTTGCCCAGTTTTATGAGATCCCTTTGTAAGTCCTCTCTGTCAACTTTGGACTTTAGCTGTTGAGTGATTTTGTATCATCTGCAAACTTTGCAACCTCAGTTAACCCCTCTTCCAGATCATTTATTAATACTTTGACAAGCACTGGTCCCAGTACATATCGTTGTGGGTCCTGGTATTTATCTCTCTCCACTGTGAAAACTGACCATTTATTCCTACCCTTTGTTTCCTGCCTTTTAACCAGTAACTGATCCATGAGAGAACCTTCCCTCTTATCCCATGACAGCTTACTTTGCTTAAGAGCCTTTGGTGAGGGACCTTGCCAAATGCTTTCTGAAAGTCCAAATACACAGTATCCACTGATCATACTGAACACTCTTTTCCACCTGTATGTTGACTCCCTCAAAGAATTCTAATAGATTGGGGAGGCATGATTTCCCTTTACAAAAACCATGTTGACTCTTCCCCAACACATCGTGTTCATCTGTGCTTCTGATAATTTTGTTCTTTACTATAATTTCAACCAATTTGCCTGGTACTGAAGTTAGTCTTACAGGCCTGTAATTGCCAGGATCCCCTCTGGAGCTTCTTCTTTTTTTTTTTAAATCAGCATTATATTAGCTATCCTCCAATCGGAGGCTGGTGCGGTAGGTATGTATCACAGCTAGTAGTTCTGCAATTTCAACTTTTAAGTTCCTTCAGAATTCTTGGATGCATCCCATCTGGTCCTGGCAACTTATTACTATTTAATTTATCAATTTGTGCCAAAACCTCCTCTATTGACACCTTAGTCTGGGACAGTTCCTCAGATTTGTCACCTAAAAAGAATGGCTCGGGTGTGGGAATTTCCCTCACATCTTCTGCATTGAATACAGATACAAAGAAGTTATTTGGCTTCTCCTCAGTGGTCTTGTCTTCCTTGAGTGATCCTTTAGCACTGATTGCTTGGCAGGCTTCCTGCTTTTGATGTATTTAAAAAAAATTGGTGTTAGTTTTTGTGCCTTTTGCTAGTTGCTCTTCAAATTCTTTTTTGTCTTGCTTAATTATATATTTATCCTTGACGTGCCAGAGTTTATGTTCCTTTCGATTTTCCTCAGTAGGATTTGACTTCCAATGTTTAAAAGATGTCTTTTTGTCTCTAACTGCCTCATTTACTCTGTTTAGCCATGTATTTTTTTTGTTGTTGTCTTACTGTTTGTTTGTTTTTTATTTGTGGTTTACATATCATTTTAGCCTCTATAATGGTGTTTTAAAAAATGTTTCCATGCAGCTTGCAGGCATTTTACTTTTGTGAATTGTAATGATTATATCTTTCATCAGAGGATCCCAAAAGCCACGAGTTGATCTATAAGTGGGTCAGCGTTGGCGTCCTGGATTACGACAAGGAGACAAAACTGTACTTGGTACATAAGACAAACAAGAGGGGAATGGTACGGGATGAAGAAGGGAGGCCTATTCTAAATGGAGGAGTATCTCCAGAAGGTGTGTTCTGACTAGGGTTCATTAGGAGATGGGAGACGTTCATTTACCCCTGTTTGCTTCCTTTTCCACCACCAGGTCCCTGCATTGTGATAATACTTTTCCCTCTCCTTCCCCACCATTGGAGGGCTGGACATGATTCTTTCTGGAACCAATGCCATTCGGGGGTAATGTGGGTAATTTGGGGATATTCGAAGTACTCACCATTTGCAGGGGTTAAGGATGCTGCCATTTCAGCACTGCAATCCCCTGCCAACCGAGACCTGAACTCTGATCCCTCATTTGGCAGCCTCTTGTACTGCCACCACCCCATCAGCCTGACTTTGATTGTATATTCAATCTATTGGTTACAATAAATAGGGAATCTGATTTCTGCATTCACTGTGGACCCCAGTGTGTGTTATTTATGTCTTCCCTTCTTTCCTCCCAGGGAGAGCCTCTCTTATGCCATGTCAGTACTGGGTGCCACGAGTCCGTCTGCTGTTTCTCGCGGAAGACCCCCATGTATTTGCCCAGCGAGTGGTTTCTGCCAATACCCTGCGTAAGGAAACACAGGCGCTCTTGCGGTACAATCTGTATGTGGACTGCATGCCCGTGGATGGGCTGAGGAGCATTGATGAGAAGAGCCTAGGTAGAATGAAGCAGCTGGCAATGAGCACTTCACACCTGAGAAAGGAGATACGGTGAGTATCCCATTGATTCTTCCCTGGAGGCTAGAAGAGGCTCATTGAAAGACTCAGATCATGGCTGTGCTTTTAGTGTACTGTACTGGATGTCTGCATAGTATGAATGACTTCCCTGGGGTGCAACCTGGAACTAGGGTATCGCTGGGGTACCTTTGTCTTACCAACCTGGGCTCCCTCTCACACTGTGCTGCTCTCACACAAGCTGCAGATCCCTCCAGATCTGCCCTCACACAAACATTCACAGGCAGGGACACACCCAACTGTGTTACATGAGTGCTTTTACCAGCCACCCATGAACCAATAATAGAGAGGCTCCAGCCAGTTCCCCACAGTTCCCCAGCCTAGGACCCCAGAGCTGTACTGTTTTGCCCTGGTCAGAAGCCTGACCAGTGTACGTTTATTACCCCGTATGCGCCTCCTTCAATGTGGAGAGGACATTGCACCAGCCCCTGTTCTTGAGCAGATTTCCCTTTGGACTTCAAACAACACACCATTTTAGGTAAAAAAATATAAAACAAATTTATTAACTACAGAAAGAGATAATCACTTAAAAATCTAAGAAATAGTATACAGGTCAAAGTTGGCTACCTAAGAAATAAAATAAAATTGCAATCTAAGTTCTATACACTAGATAGGATTTGAATCAAGAAGTGTCTCACCCTGATGGTACAAACAGTCCACCAATCTTCCATACACAGGCCAGAAATCCCTCAGCCTGGGACCACATCCTCAGTTCAGTCCTTGTTCCTAAGGTTCCAGGTGTTGAGTTGTGGGGGGAGTGAGGCCAAGTGATGATGTCACTTCCCCCTTTTATAGTTTCTGCCTTGTGGCGGGAACTTCATTGTCCCAAACAAAGCCCCCAGCACAGTTAGTGGAAAAGTATAGGCACAAGATGGAGTCCTGTGTCACATGAGCTGGTCACATGCCCTTGCATACTTCAGTGAGTCATGGCAGGGGCCATTACCTATATTCTGGCTAGAACATTCACAGAGAAGTTCATCAGGTGGGAGTAAGCTTCTTTTATGGCCTATTGTATTTCTTGATGGGCCATCACCTTGAATGGTTTATCCACAATGTGCTGGCAAGACTGGATGTAAACTACCTTGTGGGTGTTAACCAGGAGCAAACACATTTGAAATACTGGTATAAAGTCAATATTTCTAACTTCAGATACAAAAATGATACTTGCATACAAATAGGATCATCATATTCAGCAAACCATAACTTTTCCATTAACACCTCACATGACATATTTTGTACAAGATTTGTTGCAATTATATAACACTGGTGAATATGGGAGTGCCAGGGTGTTGCTTTGGGTACAGAATGTCACAGTAGGATAATGCCGAGAGATGGAAACTTTCATAGGAGCTGCACATTTTCAGTTACAGGCACTGGAAACAGCTTCCAGAGCACAGATTGTCAATGGTCCCTACATTAGGCTATGGACCACCAGCTCTCTGCAGAGCACTTCCTGGTGGTCATCAGAGAGCTGTCCAGTTGTCTGGTGCCAGCTGCCTTTGTGGCTGATCGTCAAATTAAAAGAAAATATGCATAGAGATCTTGTGTAATCAAATAGAAAAGGAAAGGAGTAACCTGGTTAGAAATGAGACAGTTTCTCTGCTGAGATACAGCCTAGGCTAGGGAAAAGTTTTAGAGTCCCTGGTCTTGCTGAATCATCATCTATCAGTGGTGGTATTGCCTTCAGTCCCTTGGAATGAACAACTGCATTGACCCCCTTCAGAAACGTGGAGGTGTGAAGAGCTGTGTGGTCTAGCAGCCTTGATTGGAGAGTAAGGTCTCTGTTTATGAACAGAGATGTAGCCAGAGAGAAGTACTCTGCTTGAAGTGAAAGACAATAACATAATAGGATAATGGCAGCTGGAGTTCATGATCAGGAAAATCACAAATTTTATACTTTCCGTAAATATTCAGAGGGGCATTTGGGAAGACGGCACATATACCTCAAGCATTCCTAGCATTCACACACAGCTTTCTCCAACCCTTAGGTTGTTTTTCTTCCCCCTTTGTAATACTTTTCTTCTCACATCCCTCTGTCCAAATCTTATTTCCCTTCCACTTTGTTCTGTAGCAGCGATTCAGATATGATGATCCTAATCAGCTGCTAGTCAGTTTCACTTTGCTGCAACCAGTGCAAGCAGAACAGACTGGTACGGAGACAGCTTAACAACTGGAGGGCAAGGAGGAGAGAGAAAGGAGTGCTAGTTCTGGTCAAATCTGGCCCTCTCTCACACTCACATACCACCCAGCTGGGTGGGACACCTTTGCAACGTCACTATTTTGTCCTGTGGCCCCACACTCTGCCAATGAACCTCAAACCTGCAGCATCATCTGCTGTTCTGTTCCTGGGACCTCCATAGCTCTGCTAATGTAATTTAGATATTTTTAGTGAGCAAGCTAAGGCCTGGTCTACACTACGACTTTAATTCGGATTTAGCAGCCTTAATTCGAATTAACCCTGCACCCGTCCACACAACGACGCCATTTAATTCAAAATAAAGGGCTCTTTAAATCGATTTCTGTACTCCACCCCGACGAGCAGAGTAGCGCCAAAATCGATTTTAGCATTTCGAATTAGGGTTAGTGTGGTCGCAATGCGATGGTATTGGCCTCCGGGAGCTATCCCACAGTGCATCATTGTGACCACTCTGGACAGCAATCTGAACTCGGATGCACTGGCCAGGTAGACAGGAAAAATCCCGGAAACATTTGAATTTCATTTCCTGTTTGCCCAGCGTGGAGAGCACAGGTGACCACAGATAGCTCATCAGCACAGGTAACCATGCAGGCTGATAATCGAAAAAGAGCACCAGCATGGACTGTACGGGAGGTACTGGATCTGATCGCTATATGGAGAGAGGATTCAGTGCTAGCAGAACTTCGTTCTAAAAGACGAAATGCAAAAACTTTTGAAAAAATCTCCAAGGGCATGATGGAGAGAGGCCACAATAGGGACTCAGATCAGTGCCGCATGAAAGTCAAGGAGCTCAGACAAGCCTATCAAAAAACAAAGGAGGCAAACGGTCGCTCCGGGTCAGAGCCGCAGACATGCCGCTTCTACGCCGAGCTGCATGCAATTCTAGGGGGGGCTGCCACCACTACCCCACCTGTGATCGTGGATTCTGGGTCGGGGATAGTCTCATCAGCGACGCCTGAGGATTCTGCCGATGGGGGAGAGGAGGAGGAGGAGGAGGAGGAGGATGAGCTTGCAGAGAGCACACAGCACTCTGTTCTCCCCAACAGCCAGGATCTTTTTCTCACCCTGACTGAAGTCCCCTCCCAAGCCTCCCAAGCCAGTACCC